AATACATTCTACTCCTATTGAAAAACAGATAATTAAGTCAATAAATAATTTCAAGCGACAAACGCCATGAGGGGCAGTGCTGACAGGAGAGACCACCCAGGAAAGTTTCAAGGAGGAGCCCGCACCCAAAGGACTTCCCGCAGGACGTCTGTGCCCAGGGAGAGAACACCCAGGAAAGTTTCAAGGAGGCGCCCGCACCCAAAGGACTTCCCGCAGGACGTCTGTGCCCAGGGGAGGTCCTGGCGGAGAGGAACGGGGATTTCATGCAACATAGTTCCAGATGGTCATTCTCGGCTTTCGTCTCACCTATAATATCCACAGGAATATAAATCTTTAATTTATCTTTAGCCATTGCATGGCTCTGGGGAAATAACATAAAAATATTGGGTCTGTTGAAATGCACCCGGAGGACAAACAGTTGATAATGATGCTGTGAATCGCAAAGGGGAAGCTGGCTTAGGGTACGAGAGGAGGGAATCTGGAAATTTAGGGACTTGTTGCCAGTCCAAGAAAGAGGTAGGCTGGGTGGACAAGGTCGTAGATTTGAGACTCTGCTCCCCAAACACTTGGAAAACTCAGGAGAAAAAAAGGCTTCGGGAGAAATAAAGGGACTGGGGACCCCATCGACCACATGAACCCCAGAAACGGAGTCACTACTGTCCCCGAATGACCCTCCCCGTGGTCACAGCACCATCCAGGGAGACGCGGGGCTGCGGTGCACAGCTGCCCAGAGGCTCGGGGGCCTGAGTCCCTGCGCTCAGTGTCGGGGCAGGACTTCCGGGGCCCCTGCTGCCGGCCCAGGACCCACGCTGCGTGCTGGAGGGGACTGAGGTCCCACCGGCGCCCCGGGGGAACTCGGGTCCGCAGGCTCCTGACTTGACCTCGGGGAGTCCGGGTCTCGCTCCAGCGGGTTCCAACCAGCCCCTCGTCACAGTCTCTGCACTCGGCCCCACACTCACCATCTCTGGGTTTCCGGGGTCTTCCTGAGTCCTGCCTACGACTCTCACGCAGATCAGAGCGAGACAGAGGCGGCACCAAAGACACCAAGGATCCTAAAGGGTAAGTAAGCGAGGAGTGGACCCCAGCAGGGCTGGAGCAGAAGGATCTATAGGCCTTTTAGGTGCGTCGCCCCACCCGCCGCCTCTGCGATGCCCCTGATTGGGCAGCTCCCTTTCCAGTCTGAGTGACAGCCAGCGGGAGGCTGCGTGGTTCAGCTTAAAGGGCTTCCGCTGTTGGGCGGGGAACCTGTCCCGACCTGGCTCAGTTGCATTTAACCAGACTGTCTCATGGCCCGGGGCCGACTCCCTAGTCCCTGCAGCATTTTAGGAATGAGTGGCAAAGCTGGCTCTAATATTAAACCGAGTGACTGGAAAGCATACCTTGGTTGGTAAATAGAAGGCACAGACAGACTTCCTATTCTCCAGGAAGTTAATAAAAGTTTTAGAAACTGTCTTTGAATAAAAGAAGTCTTCTGAAACTGCGCAATACCAACATCCCAGGTCCCCCTTTCTCCAGGTGCTCCATAGATCCTGTACATTCTGATCGCTCTTGTCTGGACGTGTCCTCCCTCCCCTCCCCCTTCTCTCTCCTCCAAGGTCCTTACTTACCCAGGGGAAACAAGAGAAGGCCAGTGAAGATAGACTAGAAAAACCAGAAATTCTGGCAGCTCTCTCTTTAGAGAAAAGCCAGTCTCAAGAGCAGGGGAAATGCAGGATTCTCAACAGTGAGATGGAACAGTGAGGCTATAAAGCAAGAAGCAGTGTTTATTGATGCCGGGCAGAGGCTCGACAGATTCTTATCCAAAAGCTGAGCCCCAATTGTAACGTACAGTCTTGTCGTTCCTACACAGCTGAAGAGGAAATTTGGGGAATTTCATTAAAAACGAATCAGCTTTCTGTTCTGCTTCTGTTAATATGCTTGCTTTCTGCAAAAGCGCTTGCTGCATGCAAGAGCTCACTTGCACTCAGGTGGATCTGCCAATGTAACTGTACCTTTGCTCCGCGAATGTAACTGTGCCCCCAGCAGTACCCGCTCTTGTAGCACTTTGTACCCTGGCAGCTCCCGGCTTCCTGTAACAATTTGTAACACCTTGCTCTGGTCCGTAACCCATGACAACTCCCACCCTTCCGCCAGTGTTACTATTTGCAACCATAGCAACTCCCTTGCTTTGTAATGGTCTAAATTCCAATCAACCAATCAGCTTGTGTAAAAGCCCTGTATATAAGGAATGTTGTCACTGAGCACACTGCCCAGATCTTCAGAGCTCTAGCTCTTCTGGGCCTGTGGGTAATAAATCTTGATTTTCCTTCTCTCCGAGTTACTGCTTGGTTTTTTGTTGGATTGATTTTGGGATTTTTCCACAACAAGCTACAGAGATAATGAAGAACATTAATTGGTTGGCAAGCCATGAAATGCCTGATGTGAGCTGGAGAGTCCTTGAGGAGGGGGAAGGGCAGTCAGGAAAGAACTCGTAAGAGCAGAAAATGGCCAGACAGGGTCAAGTTGCCATAAAAATAGCAGTAATTTGCTTCCCTTGAACTGGAACAGAATTAAGGAATGTAACTAAAGATTTTCCTGATCCTCTCCAAGAAGCTGTTGCCTTCAAATGAAATTTGATTTAACTGTTAGAAATATGATCCTGGCTATTCTTACCTGTTCCAATTAAGACATCTATTGGTTTTAAGAGCACAGCAGCAGAATGGCTAAGTGAGGTTTGCTGGAATATTCCTGTAGAGGACTTTTAAAAACGAAGAGAAACAGGCTGGGGAAAATGCAGGATATTAGCCCACTGGCTATACCAACCCATCTCTGAGATTTTTCCCTAAGATCTGGATGGGATGAAAATCCAACAATGTAAGTGAAGACCTGATGAAACCGTCTTGATTTCTTTGGACATTTTGAGAAAACTTTCATACAACATTCAGCACTGTCTTCAGACAGTTTTAGGGATTGCTAAATGATCTATTGCTCAATTTGGCATTTTTGGAAGGATTAAATGAGGTGCTTGAAACTCTGATTTAAAAAAAACCATAGACTGGCCAACCACACATACTGGCAAGTTAGTAATTCTGGCCAATTGATTACCTAAAACTATCCAAAAGAAAGAAAAAGATAAAGCTACTAAAATCTGCTCCAGCAATTAAGCCTCCTGGAAGCCCTTTTCAACAAGGAGAAAGGAGTCTGCTTTCACTGTAAAAGCCCAGGCTATCTGATGAAAGATTGTAGAAAACTAAAATAAGATTTAGAAAAAGAAAAGGAATAGAAGGAAGCAAGGGGCTATTCTAGAATAGAAAGAAGTCATCCATCTGACACTAACTAGCAAAGCCAAACACTAAACACTGAGAATTGCAGTGGAAAAGTATTGGCTATTTGTTGATGAATGGCACCATCCAGGAGAACAGAAAGCTAATGCTCGAAGCCCTGATAAATATAGGCCAAAATCACGACACCCATGGGTTAGAGGTTGGGGTCATGCTAGGAGCTGACTGGTGGGAGGTGAGCCAGGAGGTCAGTCCACCTTAGGGCTCAGGAGCTGAAATATAGGTCCAGATGTTATGTTGAGCCCACCAAAGGTCGGCCCGTGTGACTGTTAGTCAGGTCCTGGCTACTCTCTTCCACTGCCTCGGGGGTTGCTGATAATGGGGGCGAGGGAGGGGGGAGAGGAAACTAGGTCTCTGAGACAGAGGGCGGGGAGGGAGATATGATTTCTAAAGTTGGGATTTAAAACTAAATTTAAGCAGAGTCATAAGGACCCTTGCTTTGAGGATTGCAGGATGACATTTTCCCTTCTCCGTACCAATACTTTAGAAGAAATTGAAATTACCATAAAAGGGAAAACTACCAAGGCCCTTACAGATAAGGGGCTACTTTAACTATTCTTGAAACCCTATGCAAATAAGTTGCCCTCTCCCTCAGAGTAGAGGTTCTCTGTACAAACGGTAGAGACATCTAATCAACCAATGTTCATTTTTAAACCAGAAACCTATTCCTTTCCAGCCAGGAAATATTACAGGGCAACACATATTTTTACTAGTCAAATCTGCCCCAATTCACCTAATAGGGCATGACTTTCTATCACTCTCAGGGATAACTATTGCCTTCTTGTTTATCACATTTTCTGTTTTGTTTTCTTTCTTTCGACCATTTTTGGAAATAACTCTAGATCCTGGGAAAGTAGTAACCTCTTGAGTCAGAAATATTGCCAGAAATATTTATTGTTTGTCTCATCTGACCATGACAAAATAATTTGTTTCTTGGAAAACAACATTTTATTCTAAAAGTATATCTCAGTAGCAATGTTATACCAAAAACTAGTCATTATAATAAAAAGAAAAAAGTAAGGAATTTGCTTTAACTTTTTTCATGAAAAATACAAATTATTTCTGTAATATACGGCCAGCTCTCATTTATCTGTATTTGAATTATTCATTTCATGGATTATCCAAAGAAAATTTTAAATCATTGATTGGATTCTACCTAATATTTAGATATGCATCTGGATTGCTTTTATCTTCAAGTAAATATATTCTCAGGGAATGCAAACAAAATTTAACATTTGTTTGAGTAAATATAATTAGAAAGATAAATTTATGCTTAGGAAATGTGCTCCAAAGCAAAATGTTGTCTTGAGTTACTGTTTCTATCAATTTTTGCATACTGAACCATCTCCCCGCCTCCCCCCAAAAACCCTGACTGTATTGAAGTACTGGTATTTGAAATTAACAAATTATACAACTTATATACAGGGAAAAGACAACTGAATTATTTCAAACCCAAAGCACCAGAATTTTTAAAGGCATACAATGACATTTAAAAGCGGTTTTTTATGTTCAAAGTGTTGCAGGAAGCGACATCCAATGGATGAAATTGGACATTCAGACAACTTTGTTAGAGGAAGAATTGAATGCCAGTGAAGTGCGTGAGGCTTTAAACAGCACAAAAGCACGATCTCTCTAGGTTAGATTTCTCACAACTTATATACCCTTGCAGTGTCCATGCAAGGGACACGTGATTCCTTTGAGGTTCTGTGTGCACCTCCTGACTCAGGATGGGGAGGGAGAGTTTCAGGCTAGGGCTGCAAGGGGGAAGGAATTCCTGGACCAACAGTCCTATCTACAGATCGTTTCACTTGTAGGTGTGACAAGAATTTCCAAAAGGCCATTTGGAGATCGATAGGATGTGGTTAATCTATAACTGGCTGTCGGTCATTTGAGTAAGCCTTCCCTTTGCATTTCTCAGATGCCTCCTCTCTTAAAAGTGCTAAAGAAACAAGTACTCAAGAAAATTTCAGGCCTGTCTACAAAGTTCTGACTGATTTGAAGTACTAAAATATCAAGAATGTAGAGGACAAAACAACTTAAATTTAAAAGGCCTTCATTACTATACAACGTATCTGAAGTATATTTTGTAAAGATACGAAAGCAGTAGTTGAAAGATCAGTTAGGGGTGAGTTAGTAACATACAACTTACCTATCAGTCCACATTTTTTAAAAACTAATGTAAACAAATATTTTATAATATTTCTTTTACACTGTATGTGTCACATACATCTTGTCATATCCTTATTTTGGGTAATTTTCATCATCCATAATCATCACATCAATTGGCCATAATGCAGTGAGCAGAAATGATCTATTTATATCAAAATTCTTCACATATGATATTATCTGTAAACCCAAAGCTGATCATGTTACATTTAATTCCTATTAAATGTAGGTGCATGTTCATTAGGACATTTTAGCTCATTTTTAGAGTATTAGAAATTGGTGTGATTTACTTTGACCAATCTAAGTTAAAAGTACTATCTTAGTATTTAGTATGACTAAACGCGTCTTTTGTCAAAACTTGACCCAGAGTTTTGAGTGCCAGAATATAAACTGTAAACTGAAAATACTCTAAAATATGTTGGCTAATATTGGTGTCCCTATATTGTATGCTGTGCTTTTTCTCTCCATTAACAATAGGTATGGCAGTGCCTTGTCTTCAGCAAGGGAAGACGTGGAGTGGTCTGAGGAATACCCAAATAAGGAAGCAGGAAGTTTCCTGTCTTAAAAATTCCTGTTTTAAAACTTCATAAGAATTTATTCCAAAATATATTGGTGTTTTAGTATAAAAATGCTGTTCCCCCAAATTTTTTAGTAAAATT